TTGGCATGATCACTTAACTTCTCTGAATCGAGCTCACTGAGTTCTTCAGAAAAGAGCTGTCTCGAAAGAGAACGAAGCTCCCATTCACTCCCGAGCTACAATCACTCCTTTGGGAAATGACTAGTGGGCATGTTGGACTTGTCGTCATGGCACTTAAAGGATTGAACAACAGGTTCAAGGACAAGGCAAAGGAGCAGATCATCGATCTTTCCGAGATTCGTCTGTATCTTCACTCCAAACAGTTCTATGACTCTGCAAAGGGTAGTCGAGCCTACCAAAGACCAAATCAATTCTCCAAACAAGAGAACGAGGTGTTATCGTCCATGCTCCTTTCTCTCCAGCGTTCCCAGCTTTTCTCTGCGCCGTTTGGTGTATGTATTCGCAATCCCACAACAACAATAGGATAAATTGGTTAACACATATGATATACATAGGCTCCTATTCAGAGTTTGGTCAAGAAAGGAGCCATCGTACCTGATATCATCAGTACTCCTATGGATGTGGACACACCAACTTCATCGTCCTCGCTACAAGTGAGCCCCCAGGACCTCATAACCGAGAATGATGAGGATGATGATGATGAGGATGAGGATGAGGATGAGGATGAGGATGAGGACGATGAGGACGATGAGGATGATTTCATGCACGATGATGCACAAACTTCCACTTTCAAGTTTGTCTGCCCACTTCTTCGAACGCTCTACTACACAGAACTGTTTGGTTCAAAAGTCTCGGAAAGCTATCAACCAACAGATTTTGGAGACTTCATCTACCATTCATTGGTGAGAATGAGATCCTCAATCCTACTTGGGTCTCAACAAGCATTGGAGCACAAATCAGTCGAAACCAAGCGCGACTCTAAACCAAACGAGCAAGTCTGGCAGAACGAGTTCTTCCATGCCGCAACCAAATTGGTTGGGACAAACATCCACATCAGTCCAAACGTTGGCCCATGTTTCAAATCAACCGGATATGTCGATTTTTATATCAACGGAGGAAAGAAGTGGGCAATCGAGCTGCTAAGAGAGGGCGAACCAGCAACATTGGACGAACACATTAACAGATTCCTTCCAGGTGGAAAGTACTACATTATGGTCGACAAAGACATCACTCAGTGGGCGGTCCTCAACTTCACCTCAAAGGACTCACCTATCAGAGATCATTGTTGGCACATCCAGTACAACCAGGACTTCACATCCTTCAGTGTCAAGACACCAATGACAGAGATTCAACAGTTCAACATTCCTCTCAAAAACGTTTCAGCACACTTCAGC